GGCTCCACAGCCGAAACTCTCTCTTTCCTTTTCCTTTCAGCGTGGAATAAACCCTTACCTGTTCCTTCTCCTACAAACTCCTTGAATGTATCTGGTCACTTTTCTTTTTTTGATTCCAGAGCAGCTTATCTATTTAATAAAACGCAAAGCAGGAAATTAAAGAAAATACAGTGCGTATGTTTTGTTTGGACTACTCGTTTTTTTTCAACTGGTTTCTCAATGATGAAATTAAAAACATTCTGATATATTTATGAGGGGAAACTCAGCATTCCTCATATTCTATACATCCAAGACAGAACTGGTTAAACTTAATTCCTTTAATGAAAAATGTTTTTTTTATTCTGTGCTACTGGAATATGCACTCATACTGTACATTAACATTGAGGATTCAGGCAATTTTAAATAGATTTCACAATTGAAAGCTTCTCAATTAAAAGGAATGTTATTTCAAGGTTGTTGTGATGCATTCACTTTTTTTAATTAGAAACTCATAAAAAGCATATTATCTCCAGTCACTTTGATTTCACAGCTATGGCTAGACTCTGGGTCTCCATTTCCACATCTATGCAAATCATATGGATGAAATAACTTAAGCAACAGTCAGCTAAGCCAAAGGACCCAGAGGTATATGATTTCAAAGCCTTTATTTCCTTCCCAGTCCTAGCCATGAAACAATAAAGATCTCCAAGCATGACCACAAGCTAGGACTGCTCATGGCCTACCATGACCCTGTCAGTCAACAGGCCTTGGAGGCTTGCTTGGAAAAGAAATACGTCTCTTCCCAGCAGCCCTGAATTCTGGGGCTCTGAGCTAGCCACACAAGGGACACCTCTTGAACTGCATGTTGCTTGGCAACTCAAAACCCTTTACAGTTTAAAGCAGCAAAGTAACAGCAGTCCCTAGCCAAATGGTTCTTACCTTCAAGGAACTCTTATGAAAAAACTTATGAAATGTCCAAACTTTCATTCATAATGCTGAATATTTACAAGCTGCTGCTCGGAAAACTGCATTCCTGAAACTTGCATCAGTAGCAATTTTTGAAACCAGCTTTATAACAAATAATGTGGGTACCAGCGAATATTCACCTCTTACCACTATAAATATAGGGCCTTCCCACAAAGAGATTACCTGAGAAACTGGTCCTCACATTTAGACCCTAAACTTTATTTCAAAGCTTTTAAACAATCAATAGGAACCCAATATATATATATATTTTTAGTTTAAAACAAGGTCATGCAAGCTTGTGTTTTTATTGCTGAGAAAAGGTGGAATCTTCATATTTGACAATGAAGAAGGAGCTCTGAACCACTTGTTTTATGCTCCTAATTATATTCTCTTCAAGACTGATTCTGCTTCCAAGTAAAATGAGACCATTTGTTAGTAACTACCTGGTAATGAAGTGTGAACGTCTGTGGCCTGCAAACATTAAGGGATTTGGGTTTTCTAGCATTTATGCACCTTTCACACATTATCAGTGATTACGGGTTGTTCCCTGGTGATTTGCCACCCAGGCCTGCTGAATTATCTGCAGTAGCAAGGCCCTCTGAGTGCTGGCATGCATCACGTCTGTCAGCAGGCTACTGTGCCTGGCCTTTGTTCTGTGGCTGAAGAGAGAGGGCTGCTGCCTGTCTGGAGACAACCAAGGTGCAGTGTGGCCTGTGGATCAAAACATGGAAGTGGTTTTCAAATAGCAGTATGAGAAGAAAGCATGAGGTGCACACATTGTGACACAGGAACACTTCTTACTGTTATCAGATCAAACCTTTTGCTAGAAAAAACAACCCATTAAAACACTGGTTAAAATGTGCGATTCAGTGCCGTCTCAATTTACAACTTTTAGTACACAAAAATACCGTATTAGTCATATGAATGTGCACTGAATATCACAGGTCTCTGATATTGCACTGATCTGTTCTATTACAACTAGACTAATATGAAGCCTAGGGGTTTGTATGAGACAGCAGGGTGTGCCTTTTTTGTTTTCAGAGCACTGCAGTGAGCTCTCTGGAAACACTGAAGTCAGGAGCTCCTTCTCCCAGTTGTCTGGTGTACAGCGCCCCCCTCCCTCACCCCCTCCTTCACATTAGCATTCTGAACAGGCCAGCACTGCCTTGTCTCTGACGTCACAGCCAGACAGATCAAGGGAAGCACAGAGAAAGACACACACACATCAGTGAGCCGATTGTCTGGTAAACAGTTTACTGCAGATATTGATTATTGAACACTTTAACTTAATAAATCACCCTTAAAATGTTGCAGGTCTAATCATACTAGGTTTGCATGGTCCCATATTTATTTTCAATTAATTATGACTTGCATAATATGCAGAGTTCACTGATCCTTCAACAGGAAGCTCTAAGGACTTTGGCTTCTTCAAACGACATCCCCCTGCAGGGAATAACTGTGAGATACAATATAATTAATACTAAATTAAAAGTATTTGCACAGTGAGCTTTAATTTCCTTCAGGTTGTGTATTTTCTTCTTCACATATTCATCAATAAATGACAGACTGAAGTCACAGCATAATTATAGACAGATTTTCATTCTGGAGTTCATTCTTCCCCTCTCTTATCGGAAGATTACAAGTCCCACAGTCATGGTATATATTAAAGTGATCTGAAATGTTCAGCACATTTTGAAGAGGAGTGATCATGTTACTTTTGTCTCAAATGGTCTCCAATAAGCTGCCTTTTTTAATCAGGCTGTGATGTGAGACCACAGATGGTGAGAGCTGGTGAATGACTTCTTGCAGTAAAATGCATCTGTCAGCAGCAGACAGGCTCTGATCCCAGAGAAAATTCCCCAAGTTTAAGTTTTAATGTGAGAATTAGCAAGCAAAGCCTAGAAGGTACATGTTGACAACAAGAAAGAGTAGTTAATTAGATTCTTGTCAACTAATTATTGTAATAATTATACTGAACAATCATTTAAATCATGGGAAATGTCTATTTTACACCTTGGCTCCCCTCAATCCTTGTCAATCTTGTCAAGCTAACCTTAGATGATTTTCAAAAACAAGACTAACATTTTTTATTAAAAAAACTGACTCAAAGAAAAAAAATACTTCAGTGTCCTCGAAAAAACAAAACACTTTATTTACAAAACAGGGAATCTTTTTTTTTTAAAACAGGACAAGTTATACTCTAACAGTGAAACAGTAATAAGCCAACTTCAAATTCTGATTTAATGCAGGTTTCCATTTTCAGTGTGCAAATGATCTAATTTTAAGGCAAGTACTAAAGCACGCTTCAGAGAGTCCTTCGTGTGTACAAGAAGTACTCAGACACTAGTTGAGCAGAGCAAGGAAGTATGTTCTAAACACCCTTTGGAGGACATAATCCTGACCTTCTCCCTTTAAGATACTGGGACATTTTGTTGTGACAACTTTCTGAATGCCAGTATTCCCTGAATTTCAAATTAATACCACTTAAACACTGCCTGAACTGGAGATGAGAAAGAATCGGTGTGCCACGCTATTGAGAGAAATTATTATATTTAACTTATTTTAGCCTAACTCAAACTCCAAGAAGCACTACAATTAATGTAAAATTAGCATTTTTGATATGGTTTGTATTAAACAGTCTTCTTACCAACACCCACATATGATGGGTTGTGGTTATGCTATTAACTGATTCTGGAGCTTTAGACTGGTCACTGTTCTGTCAAATTTCTACACAGTACACTGTCATCTTCAACAGAACAGGGGTGATTACAGACACTCAGCTTGACCTAAAAGAGAAGCCAATACCTCAAACGCCTTTTGCTGTCTGGTCACTGGAAGAAAATACCCACATTTTAATTTCTAGGAAGCCATCTTTCTCACATTTCTATTGTATTTAAAGGTACAATCCTGTTTTCCACTGCTCAGAATAACTGAATTTATCTCTTCTTGCACTGCTGCTTTGCTTTCACACAATGACTTGAACTTACGAGGTACTATACTTTGATCGTGAGTACCACCACTCAGCAAAATACATTTTGTGCTTGTTCCTCCACATCGCTGGCCCCACCTTAGTGAGGTCACACTTGCAAATAAGATGAAATCCAAGATTAATTATAAAAGCAGCGGAGACTTTAAGGAAGCAAAACTGACCTTGTCAATGTCAGACACAAAGACGCAAGATAAAACACCTGGAAATAATGAGATGAGTGGGGAAAAATAACTGATTTAATGCTACAGTTATACAAAAGTCTTTTAAAAATCCATAAACCGCACAGTGTTTCTATCTGTAAATTTGTAAGTTTTCTCGCCTGAGGTATTCTACTATGCAGACTGGCATTTGACATAAGATCACAGTCGCACATATCACATCTTCTCTTGTTCAAGGGTACTACACTAATTACAACTATTGTTTACATGGCTCAAAAATACAAAGCGATCAAGTACAAAATGAAGGGTGTAATTAAAAGGACTTGATGTTCACGTTTTTTTTTTTCCGTTAAAAGGCTTTTGTTTAAGGTTGTTAAATTGTTTTGGTTTTGGCAAGCAAGCTCTTTGAGATATATGCACTATGACAGGGGTGAAAATGTCAGCTACAGCATTAATTTGAGGACAGAAGTATCCATCCTGCTAAAAAGAAACAGTGTAAGCAAAATAAAGGAAAAGAAAGACATACACATCAAGCATACTTCTAGATTTTAAATTCAAGATGATTAATAAAAGGTATCTTTGCAATCTTTTAAACAAATGATTAGTTAGATGACGTTTTAAAACCCTGGAAGCACATCTCATGTTATCCAGCAGTAATCCATTTGCTCCTCAGAATGTGGGCAGAATTCAGGCTGGTCCGCTGTGTTTGCAGGTCTAACTGCTGCAGTAGTGTTTAACTCAGAAAGAACTGCCCTCTAAAACCATTGCCCATGTCGAACAGAAGACACAAGCACAAGCACTCCCCCAGGGAAACAAACACACCTGATGAAGCTGTTCCTTTTCAGCAGTGTGGCCTCAGCCTGCTCTCGGCAGGTAAAAGAGATCACAGAGACTTGAATCCACAGAGCTAAACTTCCATTAATATTTTTATTTGCCCACAGTCTGGGGAAAAAAAAAAACGAATTCACCCAGCACTCCCATCCCGAACTGCAACGAGAGACTGGGCATCCAGCTTCTTTGTCCACTGATCCCTGTGCTGCAGCCACCACCACAGAAGAGAGAGGAACCAGCACCCGCGGGGGCCCAGTGACTGTCCAGTGTGGAACCAGAGCGAGAAACTCTACAAGGGCCGGAAGAAGGGGTGGTGGGGTCCATAGTGCATAGGCAAATTTAAGTCCAAGTTTAGGTTTGGGAGCACGTAATTGACCGGGAGGTTTGGCAGTGGGGGGACGTAGGGGGCAGGGATGGGCATGTTCATGGGCTGGGGGGGTAGGCGGGGCAGCATCATGTGGGGGGGCAGCAGTGGCGGCCCCTGCAGCAGGTGCTGGGGGGCCGGCGGCGGATCCAGGGGAATCCGAGCGCCGGGGTCTGCAGCGCGGGGCAGCTTGGGCGGGAGAGCCTCCGGGGGCGGGCCCACTCGCTTGAGGGTGTTCTCTGGAGGGAGGGGAACAGAGAGGGTAAGAACGGGGCAGACAAGGGCGATCTGCTGCAGTTGGTCAACACTCATGAAAGTTAGGTATGAAGAACATTACTGATTGCCAGTTTAAGAAAGAGTTACAGACTTGTCTAAGGGGCTATAATTAAAAATCTCCAATGTGAGCTTTACAGTATTTTTTCCAAGCAGAGGATTCTACTCCAATTCAGTGTAGCATTGAGGATTCAGTATGGCTTCATTTAGTGGATTTAAATTAAGATCCACTTTTTGGATCTTGAGGCTTCTATTCTTTGAACACAGAGTTTGGCCATATGTGGTGCTTAAACCGAGCGACTGGGACTCACCTGAATTCTTCTTTCGCAGCTCCTCTTCGGCTTCCCTCTGAATCTCCTGAATTATTCTTTCATCGTCTTGCTGTGAAACAAGAGGCGCGTTTGAAATATTTTATGCAGGCTCAAATTCGAAACTTGCAAGACTTCATGTAGTTCCAGCCAAGTGCACCACTTTTACAAAAGAAATGCCACATTCCACATGTGAAATGACAGGCAAGTGCATAATCAGAAAAAAGCAAATGACAAACAAGGAACGAGAAAAGACCAGGGGTTTTCATAGTTGATTTTAGAAAGAAAAAGCGCCACTGCTTTATTATTTTTTCCAAATATTTTATAACAATTTTTAAAACTCTCAATTTTCCTAATGGATGTCTGCTCAACTGCTAATTGCTGCCTATCTAACTGACAAGCCAGTTTGATCCTCCTGGTGCAGATTACAGAGCATATGGAAGACAATGGGACAGCAGCCAGCACTAACAAGCAAACAATATAGAAGGCCAGTAAGGCACAGCAGGCTCAGTCACTGGTGTGCTACGTCTTGTGATTTAGGACAGGTCTAGGTCTTCATACAACACTGAAAAATCACCCTACAAGCTGTGACTTTAACAGGGAAACTTATAATAGGGTAAATGGGGAAAAATGCATGCATTGGAATATCATGTACTTTCATTTTACAATATTTAATACAAGTAATAAAACAAAAGAATCTCACAGAATATGATACAAGAAATATTTTGTGCCAGTCTTATTCTGAAAACTAAGCAGATTTAAGGCTTGTAAAACAAATGACCTATTTGTATTATAAATATTAGCTAAAAATAGCACACCAGACTTAATATTCCTTGATGAGACAGTCTTTGCAAAAGCGATCAGCAGTTGAAAACCATACATGTCACACTGCTGATGTCTGCAGACACTCCTGGGATGTGGCTGCTGAACTGTTAATCCATCAGAATAGAAATACTTAAATCGCTACAGCTAGTACATTTTTACTAAGGCTTCAAAGAATTGCAGTTCGGCTGCTATCTTGAACTAAATGTGGCCCACAAATCTACCACAAGTGTAATTCCTCTGAACAAAACATGAATGAGACAGATCTATCACTTAATTATTGGATTTAAATTCATTTTAAGTGTTGGGATCATTGCTGGTTTCAGAACCAACATTAATGTGCAGTAAAGCAAATCTTGTAAACAAAACCACACACAATTAAGTACTCCCACAAAGATGGTTTTACATTATTCTATAGCAGTTAATCAAAGTTCCTGGTATAGTACTTTTCAAATGCATCATATTAGTGCGATCTTTTACAAGCTGAAAAAAAGCCAAATATTTTGCCTGGTGATGCAGTTGGTTTGAAAGGATGATACAGTAATTATGTTCTGCAGTAGACAGTAGTCCTGCCAATCATGTCTTTCACGGCTGTTGCCGTGAGTACTATATCACTTTAAATGTATCCAATGTGAACCTTTTTAAAACTTCAACAAATCTAATAATTTGTAAAGATCACAAAGTAGTAGCAGTAGCAGTAGGAAGTGGGATTGCACTTCTGAGAGACGTGGGCCTTAATTGTGAGACAAGGGTGACAAGATATGATTTAGTTCATTTTAATTAGCCAAAAATGAAAGATTTAAATCACAAAGACTTGTTTAATGATGTAAGACTAACTAAACAAAGGGAAAAAACCTAGTCTATGGAAATAAATTTTTAAATTCTAAAATGCTTTATAAGACTCAAATAAGAATGTTCTTTTCTTCTCCAAAAAAGTTACAATTTACTTCCTGATTAAATTTAATTGCACTTAGACACAGCATGACACGTTAAACTGTGATACTGATGTAAGTAATCTCAGCCATGCCCTTTCTCATGAACTGAGCATGGACAGATTAAGTTTCACACTCTAATGTTTAGCCATTTGTTCTGCAAGAAACATTCAGAAATTAACAATAGTTTCCCAAAATCATTTTACAGCAAAGTGCAAATGCTGGATATAGAAGGTGTTTTGTAGAATAAGCCTTGATAATAAAAGGTAACAGTTCCCTAAGGCTTGGTAAATCAATTTGACTGTAGGGAAAGCCTATACTAAAGTAATTAAATAGCAATATACAACTGTTAACTGGGTTTACTTTACAAAGTGTCTTAAATTCAGTTTAAAACATTATGGCTTTAAACTAACAGGATCAGATACTTGTAACTAAAGCTCTACATCTTTCAATTCAAACAAGTCCAGCATGACTGTGGGTCTTCCAGTAAAAGAAATCACTACAAGCTAAAACTATTCATTGCCTACCTCTCTCAGGAGTTGAAATAAGTCATCATCAGAACATCTGATAACGTTTCAGGCTATACTGCATACTGTATATATATACATGAAAACTCTTTAGGAGGAACCAGATTTGCAAAAACGTATTGCTTTTACTTATTCACTACAGGAGTGGTTGTCAAACTACAGGACCTATCTCAAAGCTTAAGGGGACAAACGTTTGGTTTGTATAGTGCTAGTGTAACAAAAACAACAAATAATATAATAGCACATCCTACTAGTGCTGTGTTTTTGAACCTACAAAAGCAGTTTCATAGAAATCATGTAGGTTTTTTTGGTACGTTTACTTGGAAACGTTTACTAAGGAGAGAATGAAAACATTGAAATCAATGGTCCAAATTATTTATGATGATTAATACCAAGATACATATTGCTTTAAAAAAAAAGATGCAACAGTCAAATTAAAGGTATTCTTAACTTCCTCAGCAAAAGGTCTTCAGCTATAGTACATAAGAATGATTACAAGTAAGTAGATCAAATTTAGCTCATCTAACTCTTATGTTTTGAAGTATTTACTGTAACTGATCCAAGGATCTCATCCATGTGTTACTTGAAAGAAGCCTGTGTATCAGCATCAACAACATAGCTGGGTAACTTGTTGCCATCAACCTCCTCTTTTAAGTTTTAAATACACTTTGCTGCAGTTTCCACTTGTGTCCCCTGGATGGTGTTTCACTGTTGATTCTGACGGAGTCCACTGCATTCTCTATTCAAGATTATAGAGATTCACAGCTTTTAGCCTGTCTAATTTTAGTCAGGACAGGACACTCCTTTAAGGAATGCATCAGTTCTTCCCTTTCTTGGATAGATTCCAAAGCAGCCAACCTTTCCTGCATTATGGCACTCAATAATGCACACCATATACCTGAAAATGAGGTTATTATTAGCACATTGTCCAATTTTAACATAATCTCCCTTCACCTGAATTCTGTGCTTTCGACAATCTTATTTGATTTCTGTTGCTCCCCCACAGAGTTCAGAAGATGACAATGAAGCATCAATATAAACACCCAAGTCTAACTACACAAGCTTGGTAGTCTTTCTGTAACTCTTTTGAAACTCCTACAGCATCTGCTAAACCAACTATGCAAATATGCATCCAGTTAACTAGACAGCATTGACAAGAAAAAGAAAAGTGTCAGATCTTTGTATAGTATGCTGCCCACAAATGGGTTTTGTTAGGGGATTTCCGCCCATGATAACTGGATTTAATTATAGGCAGTAAAACATTTTGATAGTCTGTTAGATATTAATCACCATTCTAAGTTTAAATCTAAGAGTTTGTATTTACGGATATTGTCTTAAAAAGTTTATATGTAGTGACTGAATGGTCTACTTGCAGTTTTAGCGTGTGCTGTGAACACAACACTACATGAATTCTGGGAAGAACTGTTTCAGAAGATAAGCAGCACACTGGATATCTGTGCTACAACCTGGATCCTGGTTGTTTGGCCCTCAAACACCTTTAAATTACACCTGGAAATAGCCAGATGACGCCTCTCGGGACTTGGCTTTTGGGCGACGCCTTACAGAAAAAGTTTGAGAACCACTTCTGCAGCTGCAAAGCCTGGACTGGAAAAGGCCACTTGCACTGACACTGAGTTGAAACAGAGGATTTGTCTCCTTCTCTCTGAGGACTTACTGTGGGGTCTGTCCACAGAGAGCACTTCTTGCAGTGGCGGCACTGGGCTCCAGGGGAGCGGGCGTGTTGGCAGAAGTGGTTGTAGCCGTTGATGGGCTCTCTGCAGAGGTAGCACATGTAGGCACCACAGCGACAGGACATCCTGTTGCAGCCCTCGGACTTCACCAGGCCCGTTCCGCATTTGTGACACTTCCTGACCCGAGCAGCTGTCATCTTCTCCTCACTGGTCAAAGAATTCAAGACATTAAAAAGCAGTTCAAGTGTTTAAACAACCTACATGGGGATTTCATCGTCTGACATCTCTTATCCAACACGTCAAATGTGTTTTCCCTGACTGCATGGGGGGCATTTTATTTTGTCCTTTTGTAATGTTAGGACTTGCAAAATAACTCATAGGAACTAAACTGAACTGACTTTCAAAACTGAACCCACACAGAATAGTATGAACTTGATTTATGTATGAATAATGTAGTCATTATCAAATTGATGTCACTAACACTGCATTTAATATCTACTGTATATATCATACAAAAAGGATTTAACATAAAAGTCTGGGATAAATGTCTCTCTCCTTCAAAGTTATATTAAGTACAATAGAGTGTTTTCCTGTCAGATGGTTAAGGATGTATTTAAGTTGCAGGACATGGTGGAAACAGGAAATTTGGTCTGCAACCCAGCTGTATCCTCCCACAGTACTGTGAAAGCTGCAGGAAGCCCTCTGCATAGACCTATTTCCTATTCAAACTGCATGAGAGCTGTGAAAACACACAAAAAATCAAAGGAAAAACGTGGACATGGCAGACTTTGGAGCCACTAAAACTATCCCTTTTCTGAAATGCGTTTGCTTAAGGCTTTTTCAGCATTTCTCCCTGATCAACATATTTCTGGTTGACAGCATTCAACAACGAGTTGAACAGAAACTGCAAATACAATACTCTCCCCTCAAATGGCTTAAAACACAATACAACTACTGCCATCCTCTGGCACATTCTGAATGACTACCAATTGAGGGGGTTTAAACAGCCACAGGAAAGAAAAGACTGCATTTATGTTTGAAGGGGGTGGGGGCAGGGTGTCTGGACTAACACTGCTGATGCAGATTCTGGTCCAAACTGGTGTGAAAAAAAAAATTGGAACACCTGCCCCAAGGCCATATAAAGGGTAATGCAGCCCTTAATATTTATGATCTGCAAGTCAACTACAGAAGCCTAAATAATATATGAGCATACGATTGAAATGGTTTCCTAGTCAAATAATGGCTTTAAAAACAAAAACACACATGGCACACACACTTACAAAGCCACCCTGAGGCGAATCTCGTCTTTCTCTGCGACTTGTTCACATGTCAGGTCCATATGATCCTTCCAGAGGATCTGGCACTTCCGACAGGTCTCCTGATGATGGGAAGAGAAAAGTGGGGGGTTTAAACAGTCTAAAACACGTAGTTCTTTTCTATCAGGTACACTAATATATTCAACTGCCCTGCTCTAAAGGCTAGTGCAGCTGGCTGTAATAAAGATGCCCCGATGACTGTTGACTGATTTGGGCACTTCTGAGTGGCTCTGATGCTGCATCACAGTTTTATTGTAAAAAACCCTCAGGTAGAAAGTCATTGGCAGCCAACTGCTTTCCATGCGGTTCCGGTTAAACCCATTTCATGCAAAAAAAAAAAATTAAAAGGAGGTAACTTCTTCAGAAATATAATTAACACAACCCCCCATGGTACATCTGCCATCACAGGCCTGGGTGAACACATGTGAGCCCACAGGCAAATTGCTAATGGAATTCTTCTTGTGCACTTAGAGGTGAGGTACAGGACAGACTGCGAGCGACTCATTATCAAGCTGTCACAAATCTGAACAGAAGAAAGAGTAGTGGCAAAACAGTGATCGGCATATGCAGCAGTCCTGCAAAAAACAAAACCATAGAGAAAGAAAGAGGTCACAACTTCCAGCGTTTTAGGTCGGTTTTGTTTTTTAAAGCGACATCTATTGTACTGATGTTTTTTTCTTTAAATTATTGCAATCCATATTTTTGTCCAGCATTTAAATATGCTGATGAAAAAGCTATCTTTTTTAAGACAAGCAGAAACAAAATGTTTAAAATGGGAATCTTTTACAGGGTATTAAATCTATCAAAGATAAATTATGAAAAGAAAAATAATCCAAAAATTTCAGTCTTTTCTAGCCTGCAAGTATAATGTAGGCTTGTTGCTTAGAGACACTGTTCTCCATTTGTATTCTTGGTCCTGTCAGCCTGCGATTTTCTTTGCTCTTTCATGAGGCTGTCACAGACATGGGTGTCCACTACACAGGGACTACTGCTCCTTGGCTAACAAGGAAAATGTGAGCTCTGAATCATTAGCATCATTTCAACAAAACATGTGCACACAACAACAATAAAAATAACAAGCCTGCTCACATGTTTTCCTTTGTAAGGACTAACCTAATGAGAGAGGGTGCTGTGTTAATTCAATAAATTTTTGTTGCCTAGCAATCTCCCACAAAAGGTGAGTGGATAAGTCCTGTATTTTAAATGACTTCTATGAATATTCATAGGACTGAACTTAGCCAGGAGACAAGTGTATGTCTATTATGGAAATGTCAAGAGATGAAATACGTGGTACTGAAATGTTCGATTTTACAGGCCTTTTTTTCATCATTTTTTTTTCAGCTGTTACAGCTACAGTATGTGCATACAGTGACACAAAAGACATGTAACAATTGGATTGGATCTGTTCAAATAGTTTAAATTATCCTGAGCAAAAAATTGATCAAGCGCTCATGATTAATTTTCACAAATGAAATGTGACACGCTGTCAAAGTGAAAATTAAATTCAGGTTATTTTGAAAGGATATTTATACCTGTTTGGAATAAACCCTTTGACATGTCTGAATTCTCAAAAAACAATTACAGCAAACAGTCAAACTACGCAAAGAGTATCTTCTGATGGTTTAAAACAAAACACCATTATGCACCTGCCTAACACACTGAAAATTCAGTCTCAGAATGTGCACTTTTTAGTCTCCTGGTAGTTTCACAGAGCCACAGAAGGTTCCAGAAGCTACTACAAACTCACTTTGGTCACCTCTAGGAATCAGAGAAGGCCGAACACTGAGGCAACGCTCTCAATACCATGTCAATGGGGGAAAGTGAGAACTGCTAAAATATCTAAAGCTAAAGACTGTTGACCTCCATATGACATCCCAGTCCTGGCTGTTGATTTCCATCATCAAGAGGTTGAAGGTTAAGGGGACAGCAGTAGTGAGGTTTTACCCAAACGAACTGTCAGGAAAACGGTTTGTGAGGATGTGTCACACCCTAGGGCAAGGACAGGAAAGCTCTAAAAACCTGAAACCATTAGGATACAATGTCTTGAGCGGGATTTTCATACTGGCACGCCCGAGGAGAACCCTGCCAAACTCCCTCAGCATGGTCAGTGGCCATGCAGGCGAGGTCAATAGAGACAGGCACATGGAGGCATCGAGTGGATGTGTATAGACTTGAGGACAGACTTTGTCCTATTTTCGTTTTTTGTCCACATCCAGAATATGAAAAAAGAAGAAACTGGGATATCCTAAAGTACTCACCAAGGCACGTGTGCCAAGATACAGATGAAGAGCAGACACTTGGAAAAGTAAATACCTAAGTTAGCACTACCTCCCACATTAAGCATTTTATACTTGAGGCATGATTCACATGATGTGGGGAATTCTTAACAAGGTTAAGCACAAAGCAGTACATGTTAGATAAATCCTGGAATTTGTAGTACAGTAATGAGGAGGTGTTCGTCTAAGTATATAAGAGGTTTTCCAATGATTATTTTGCATTTTAACATTTTCATACTAAAAAAATTGATATACTCAAAACACTTATGCTAAGGTTCTATGATTATTAAAAGTTTCCTCATTATTGGTGTGTTTTCTATTTTATAAAAGTATGCATGAATGCCCAAAAGTGGCAGAGTGAAGTCAGCTCTTTCTTGATTCAATTGGCATACCTGTTTGTCAATACAACCCATTCATGTAGACTAACAGCAAATGCCTATGACTGACACGACCATAAAACTAAAGGTCGATTCCAATCACAGTGGTGATTAATGCACAGAAATAATGTTCAATAAAGATAAAAGAAATAAATAAAATGCTGAGTCCCAGCTGCTGCTCCAGTGTCTAATGGAACAAGCAAATTAAAAAGTCTTGAATTTGTAGGTTCACCATTTTGTTTTGGTAATCTAAACTGTTTGGGTGATAGATCAATCGCTAACATTAGCACACATACTGTACCTTGCAGAATAATCTTTTTTGTAGATATTCCTACACTTTGTACTAGCAACACAAGAAGAGCAACTGTGGCTCCTCATCAGGTATCTTATGACAGACTAGGCCCCCAGGCCCTGCTTAGCCAGTACCATACAGCATGTGAGGCTAATGTCTCCTGGATTAGTTCCTTCTCAGCTGGACTAGAAGGCCAGCGTGAACTGAACTGCACAGCAAGGGCTCGTCTTGGGCAGCACAAATTTACCATTTGAGGTTTGACCTGATGGATCGGGCATCTGCAGCACAGGTCCATGGCATGAGACACGAGTCTGTCAAATAGCAACGCATTGACTCTCAAATCAAATGGGACCACATGCTGTTCCTCAATCCGGCAAAAACTGAGTTTTTAGATTGAGTTTTAGACTTTTAGCTTTAGTTTTTAGTCTCGCCAGAAAGTTGATAAGCGGAGGCAGGAGAAGCTCATACTGAGAAGAATGTTATTCCTTCTTTTTGTACGTATAAATCCATCTGTTATGCTTCAGGGGTGATCATGTTCGTCAGATCTTGGCGTCCTTCGTCAGAACTGAGGGGAAGCCAAATGTCATAGTTTACCAGGATATCTAAGCTAAAAACCTGCACCTCCTGTCAAGAAGCTTGAGTTTTGACGCAAAAGGACATTATAATAAAATAACAATACAAAACATGCATTGCAGTCATTGACCCAATGAGATCATGGACTGGTCTCTAGTGGGACATTCATGGTCTGAGCTGAAGAACGCTGAAGACCACAAGCAGAGGCCACACAACCTGGAGGAACTGGAGAGATTCTGCATGGAAGAGTGGTTGAATGACCCTCTCCCTTTTAAAGACCATAAAGAGTCTATTAACAGACTACAGGAAGGATCTTCTTGAGATTAATTAAGCCAGCATTTTATGTATATTTTCATTTAGACAGTTATTTGCATTTAGAAAAATTGATTTTCATGACAAATGAAACTAAGAGTTCAACCAAGAGCATGAATACTTTTGGAGATTACTGTGCAAACTGTTCAGTTAGGAACCAAGAGAGGAAAGCAGTGACAGAGCGCACCCTAGTGGTGATAAAAGATTTAAAAGAAAAGGCATCCTGCAGAGCATTTGTATAAATAAATGAGCCGCATTAAACCATGGCAGGATTTACAAGACATGCTTAGGTGGAATAATGTAATTAAAAAAACTTATTCAAAGGACAATTTTTAAGATATACATGCTTGCCAAAACAAAAGCTGCCCTTTTTCCAAATCCAATGAAATACCACTGCAATATGACATCTGAAAGCCATTTGTGAGATATACTGGTGAGTCATGTCATACAGTCACGTGATATGATGTCACTACCAACATCCCAGACGCTCACAATGTCATTCCCAGAAATGAAAATTGTTGCTTGTGGGAAACTGGTTGCAATTTCATATCTATTCATTTCTGCAGGTGACCTTGACAGTAGTTACATATGAAAAGGTCTCCCAGATTGGGTTCACCACACTTGTACAGAGTACACTTCAAGGACTGTAACATCTCTTGACTGTAAATAAATGACAAGGTGGGGCAGATACTTTAGTGAAATAAAAGAAACCTTTGAGCTTTTTATTGTAAAGTGCATTGCTGCCAATTTTTATATTCAATATTATGTTATATTTAAACTAGCTGTTTCACAATCTGAACTGATTGTTTCAGACTGCGTATCAGTTATGTAGTAGGTTTAATAGATTTTTTTTTAAATAAAGGAATGTCCAAGCACCTTTAACATAGAGAATGTTGTCAGCTGTGTCTCTCTAGTGAGTAATAAAACATTAGTGCTGGGCAACCAGCACCTACATACTGAACTTACCAGAATGTACCCAGTGTTCGGATTGTTCCAGCATTTCTGCTTACTCGTAACCAATACCTTGTATCTACAAATTTAAACAAAAAAGGGAATCTGGAAACCTTTAAATGAACTTGACAACTTTCAAATATCCTATTTCTGTACATTTAACAATTGGTTCACAAGCCTAGGTGGGATTAATGAGAATTTCAGGCTTCAGCTAGTTTGGATTGATAAGCCATCAGATCTGTTGTTAAATTCGATTCAAGACAACCTAAAAAATAGGACTA